ACCAGCTGTGCAAATTAATTAATCGCGCTTAAAGTGCATATGACATGATTTTTTTTATATTCAACCATTTTGAAGAGCTTGCAACCAACGTGACGTCATAAATTAGCGGACATATTCACACTCATTTACGTACCAAACAAATTGAAATATCTCGGGAACAAACCATTAAAAGAAGAAACTGAAAAATAACTACAGCTTAAAGAGTTCTTTCATTTAAGAAAATAAAAAAATTCATGTCATATGCACTTCTAAAGAAGAGAACATCAAGGACCAGTCTATACTGCTTAATTATTTTTCCATTTCATTTCTCTGGTTTGCTCGATGGTGATCACGACTTGTTTCCAATCCTTAATTTTAGTTTTATGTCCCTATCTCTAGAAGAAACAGCAACTGCAATGTGGTCTGATAAACCAAATGGTTGGATAAAGTTTCGGTGCGTCATAGTTCTCATCATAGACAATCCAGAAGACGAATGTAATGAAGCATATCCCACAATGAAAAACTTTTCCCGTTAGAAAAATAGTGACAGATTTTCTAGGCATCTTCATGATGTTAAAAAGAAGATAAACAACAGACATGTTGCCAGGCACTCCAATTGTGCCTCTATCCCATCACTGGTGGGAAAATATTTACTATACACACCCACATGGTCGTAATGAGCGATTTTCTTTCATCTACCTCATTATCTCTCATTGCCCTCATTTACATATCATAAATATAATCATCCTAGATAATATTTTCGCACTCCTTCTATCTTTAAATGATGGTATGCGGTTATCATTAAACGCAGTTTTGTGCCTGACATCCCCATTTTTTGTTTTGATTTTGCTATGGTTACGTTGGATTAGTTTATTTGATTTACATTTCTTCCTTCGTAGTTTTCCCACAAAAGCAGCGAGTTTCATTTACTACATACTCTTACTATATGCTCCTGATGAAGGGTCTCTTCTCCAAACGTCGAGAAATACACCTTCTTTCTGTTTGTGCTAAGAGGCTGTCACAAAATTTTCCAAAAAGGTTTATATGAAAAGCACTCACTTTTTCTTTACTTAACTCTTCACCATCTTCAGGACATTTTGGATTTGGACTCCTGACAAAAAAACAAATACTTTTACTACTATGCACAGAACGAAGACCGTTTGCCAGGGTCAACGGGTGGAACAGTCTATCCAGCAAGGAAATAACAACTACTAGCGTAAATGAATTCCAGCGTCTACTAAGTAAACTTGCACGACCCAACCAGCTCTGCAGATTAATTCATCGCGCTTAAACAAAGAGATTGATTGACTGATTGATACCTAAGGAAGAGAACACCAAGGACTAGTCTATACCAGTGGCGTGCTGGCAGGGGGGGGGGGGGCCGTGCCACCCCCCAGCGAAAATTCTTTTAGGGGGCGCCGAAATTGCACAAAATCATCGAAACCATGCACAAAAGCGTCAGTCCGAATTGGAATTTTTCAGATCCGATGAGATCTGAAATCAGATGAGAGAAAGAGTTTGAATAATAAGATTGTTTGATACATTGTCGTCGACTCGTCGTTTATACTTTACTGCCATTTGCAAGCCACCGTTAAGTGTTACTTGTTTCAACGTTTGTTTCAATTGTTTGCGTTCGAAATTTCAACCTTTTCCCAATAATGAACCACATTTTGACAGCTTTTTGACAAGTCACGCATCCTTTTTGTCAAGTCACGATGTCGATGGCTCTGATTCTGAAGAAGAATATTATGATGAGAACGATAATGATGCTTCAGATCATGATACGACGCAACACGGAACAAAGATGTACCATCTTTCCTTGAGGCCCTGAGAATCCTGTCGCATCCTGTGGAGTACCCCTGCATGGTCAATGCATATCCCACACTTTGTAAAGTGTACGCGATTGCGGTTGCAATCTCTATCAGTTCTGCCACTGCTGAGCGCTCATTCTCAGTACATAGGAGAGTGAAAACTTGAATTCGGTCAACTATGTTGCAAGGCCGATTGGAAGCCTTACTTTTGATGGCTGTTGAGAGGGGAATTTTACAGTCTCTGGACAAATAGCGCATTATTGACGTGTTTGCAAAGACGTCAATGGAGCTATCAAAAGGACTTTTGTAAATTAACATTTTTTACAAATCAAACTTTGTCCTTATTCATAGAACTAGAAAACTATGTAAACATAATTTAATAATGTTAATAGTAAAGCCTCCGTCGACAAAGGTAGCTGATTTTTTTATTACATCTGAAATAAAACAAAAGTTATTCTTATTAGTTGTTACATGTGTTGGAGACTGTTATTGTGATTGTCATTGTTTTTGTTATTGTTATAGACACGGAATTTTCCAGAACATTCTACTGTATAAATATTCAATATAAATATAATATTTCAGTCAAACAATGACAACAGTCAAGAGGGCCCCCCACACCAAATATGCCTAAGGGCCCCCTCTTCCTCCGTTACGCCACTGCAAAGAGGAAAGGGGGCGCCAAATTCCCAGCTGCATGGCCTCGGGCCTCCCCTGGCGAACACGGGCCAGCACGCCACTGGCACTGGTCTATATACTGCTTAATTATTTTCCCATTTCATTTCTGTGGTTAATTTGCTCGATGGTGAAACAGCAACTGCAATGTGGTCTGATAAACCAAATGGTTGGATAAACTTTCGGTGCGTTATAGTTCTCATGCATGTTAGTTAGGATCATGTCTAATGAATCATATCCCACAATGGAAAACACATTTCCCGTTAGAAAAATAGCGACAGATTTTCTAGGTATCTTCATGATGTTAAAAAGAAGATGCACAACAGACATGTTGCCAGGCACTACAATTGTGCCTCTATCCCATCACTGGTGGAAAAATATTTACTATACACACCCACATGGTCATAATGAGAGATTTTCTTTCATCTCTCTTGTTATCTCTCATTGCATTCATGTACATATCAATTATAATCATCCTAAATCATATTTTCGCACTCCTTCTATCTTTAAATGATGGTGCACGGTTATCCTATGCCTGACATCTCTTTATTTGTTTTGATTTTGCTATGGTTATGTTGGATTGGTTTATTTGATTCACGTTACTTCCTTCGTAGTTTTCCCACAAAAGCAGCGAGTTTCATTTACTACATACTCCTCCTTTCTGCTCCTGATGAAGGGTCTCTGCTCCAAACGTCGAGATATACAATTTCTTTCTGTTTATACTAAGAGGTTTATATGAAAAGCACTCACTTTTTCTTTACTCAACTCTTCACCATCTTCGGGACATTTTGGGTTCGGACTCCTGACAAAAGAAAACAAATCCTTTTACCACTTACAGTGAAAATACCAGAGCCATTCCGCTTCTTTTGTATGCTGTCATTTACTGTATTTTATTCTAACAAGTCAATGACGCCTATAAAGATACTAGATGCCCAACAACCATTTGTTGGTAATGTATGAAATGAAAGAAAATAATGACTTATGATCGATTATAAGAACATTTGCAACATGATTTTGAAGCAATATCTACAAACGTTTTATGTTTGTCCGTCATGTTTTCGCTCGCTATATACTCTGGTTTTTATAAATGACTGCAAAGCCCAGTCGAATTACATTCACAAACCAACGTTTCGACACTCCAGTCTAGTGTCTTCATCAGTGGTGATTTGAAATCGCAACGTGGCTTCCTATATACCCATGACGTCATCTGCCAACACCAACAAGATGGATATATTCTTGTGGCAAATCATCCCTATTCAACGTCTATGGTATGAACCCACAATCTCTTCCAACATTTTCGTTTTATTAAAACCTCCCATGTACCCATCATATTTTAAATATTATTAAATGAAGTTACAAGACATTTCTGGTGTGTTTTATTATCAATGATTCTGGGCCCAACCTTGCGTACAATTGTCATGGGTGCGATTGTGCAATTCAATGAGTGAGATTCCATGAATGAGGCTTGCCATCACCACATCTGGTTGTAACTCCCTTTACTTCCCTGACTATTAAACGAGCATATACAGTGACATAAATAAAATCTCGTTGAATTTAATAGTGTCCAGCGGTGGACACGGGACTAAAAAAGGCGGGGAAGGTTATGCATGTGCAAACTTTGTAGTGTGTAAGTTTAGTCAAATAAAAGAATATAAAAACTAATATTTATCATACGAATACACCACAAATTATCATACTTCAACAAGTTTTCGATGCAGGATTTACACATCAAGTGACCACACATGGTT